CAATGGGTTTAGCTATGTCCGGGTAGAAATGCATTGTCCCAGATAAGATGATTGTAGTTATTATAATGGGCAACATAGCCAAAGCAATGTCCATAATACCTAACCTGTAATGGTCAGCATAGGAAAGGTGAATTTTACAGTGCTATGACTCATATGGACCATTGGTACTGACATGTCAATCGTGGTGTTTACAGGCATGAAATAGATAAAAAGCCTAAAACATTTTTTTGTTTAATCTGTATAAGCAGAAAAATTCTCAAACAAATGAAAGAAAGGCTACATTGGATAGTGACAAAAGGTAATCTTGGTCAGTGAATCAATTTTCAGACTTGAGCCAGTTTTCAGACCTAGAACCCCTTGAATGAAGAGATGGCCAGATTCACACTGAGGAAGGAACTTGGTAAAATACCAAGTTTTTACTGTTAGCTTTTCTCTACTTCTTCCCCAGAGGGATCTATGGCCTTGTACAAGGGTACACTGGGGAGAGGAATTAATCAGATTTTTTGGGGACTATTGGATACTGGTTCTGAATTGAAGCCGATCCTGGGAGATCCCAAGCAACATTATGGCCATTCAGTTAAAGTAGGGGTTTATGGATGTCAGGTGATCAATGGAAATTTGGCACAAATCTGAGTCACAGCACATCCAGTGGGTCTCTGAACCATTAGTTATTTCCCTAGTTCCAGAATGTTTAATTTGGGTAGATATACTTAGAAATTGGCAGAATTCTCACATTGGTTCCCTGACCTGTGGAGGAGGGCTGTTATGGTTGGAGAGGCTAAATGGAGGCCTTTAGAGTTGCCTCTGCCAGGTACATAGTGAATCAAAAACAGAAATTAGTGCTACCATCAAGCTGCAGGGGTGCTGGTTCCCACTACGGCTCCCTTTAACTCTATCTGGCCAGTGCAGAAGACTGATGGATCGTGGAGAATGACAGTTGACTATTGAAAACACAATCAGGTAGTAACTCTGATTGCAGCTACTGTAGAGTATCCTTATTTGAGCAGATTAGCAGATTTTTTTGGTGCATGATATCCAGTAATTGATCTAGCAAACACATTTGCTAGCTTTGTGTGGGGCCTGGAATGAGAGAAGTGCTTCAACAAGTACAGGTTGCTCTACACTTGGACTATAACATCCAGCAATGGTAGTTGAGGTGTCAGTGGCAGATAGGGATGCTGTTTGGAGCCTTTGGTATGCCCTATAGGTGAATTACAGATGAGACCTTTGGGTTTTTGGAGTGAGGCTCTGCCATCATCTGCAGACGACTATTCTCCCTTTGAAAGACAGCTCTTGGTGTGCTATTGGGCCTTGGTTGAAACTGAACATTTGACAGTGTGTTAATCAAGTACTGTGCAACCTGAGCTTCCCATCATGAGCTGGGTGTTATCTGACCCACCAAGTCTTAAAGTAGGGCATGCACAGCAGCAACCCATTATCAAATGGAAGTGGTAAGATCATGTGACCAGTTGCAGAAATAAGGATTATTATTGAGAAGAGTGCTCCTGTTGAATTTTGTTAAGAATGCATTTGTACAGATATTTCTGTTTTCCTTTAATTTCTTTTTTTTTCTTTTTTTTATTTTTTTTCCATTTTTTCTATTGAGAAAAGGAAAAAAAAACAAGTTTCCACCTCCTCCCAGCCTCCCATTTCCCTCCCCCTCCTCCCACCCTTCTCCCCCTCCTCCCACCCTTCTTCCCCTCCCCCCACTCCTCTCCCCTTCCCTCTCCAGTCCAAAGAGCAGTCAGGGTTCCCTGCCCTGTGGTAAGTCCTAGGTCCTCCCCTCTCCGTCCATTCCTAGGAAGGTGAACATCCAAACTGGCTAGGCTCCCACAAAGCCAGCACATTACGTAGGTTCAAAACCCCGTGCCATTGTCCTTGGGTTCTCATCAGCCCTCATTGTTCGCCATGCTCAGAGAGTCCAGTTTTATCCCATGCTTTTTCAGTCACAGTCCAGCTGGCCTTGGTGAGCTCCCAATAGATCAGCTCCACTGTCTCAGTGGGTGGGTGCATCCCTCGTGGTCCCGACTTCTTTGCTCATGTTCTCCCTCCTTCTGCTCCTCATTGGGACCTTGGGAGCTTGTAACATCAAATAAGAGAATACTAAAAAGATGTTCCCCAAGGGACAGTGCTACCTATTCTAAATTTACAACATGTTGTGGTTGTCCAAGGGGTAGGTTTAGGCATTATTGTGATCTGGTTGTTTCCATTTGGAAATTAATCATGATATAAGGAGATATGATTGTGTGTCAAATTGACAAGGGGTGGATTGTGATGGCTATTCTTGATTGTCAACTTGCCTCTATCTGTAATGAACTACAACCCAGAGAAGGAGCGCACACCAGTGAAAGATTTTCTGCTTGGTTTGAAGTGGGTAAATCCACTTTTATTTTAGACCTTGGAGGTAGCAAGACACATCTCTGATCTGGATCTTTAATCAGGAAAACAGCATATCTTGAGTCTAGAAGACGCACCTTTAATCTGGGCCACACTTTCTACTGGAAGCCTATATAAGGACAAGGAAGAAGGAAGGTTTTGCTCTTTGCCTGTTGCCCTCACTTTGCTAGCATAACCATTCCTTCCCTGGCATTGCAGTCTACTTCTTCAGGATTTCAGCATATACGGAGGACCAGCTGAGACACCCATCCAGCCTTGTGAGACTGAGGAACTACTAGATCCTTGGACTTTCTGTTCATAGTTAGTTATTGTTGGATTAGTTGGACTGTAGCCCGTAAATTCATTCCATAAGTTCTGTGACTCTAGAGAACCCTGACTGTCAATATTCTGTTTTTCATGGTTCTGTGGATAAGAAGATTCACTCCAGAATGAGTTTTAGATTTCGCCAAACAGCTACAGCAGAGGAGTCTGTTTCCAGTGAACTTACTGATCATTGATTTGCAAAAGGCCTTTTTTTTTTTTTTTACAATTTCCACATTCCACAACCTCTTATCTGAAGTTCCTTGAAGAAACCAAAATACCAAAGCAATTCACAGTCACAAGATCTCTAGGTTTTCTAAGTCCTCTCATAACTAAGTTTTTGCAAAAGCTTTGAACCCTTCAGGAAGAACTCAGATAAGATTCAGACACGTCAAACAAAGGTTGTCAGTAACTAAAGGTAACATTACAAAAGGCAGTTCAAAGCCTAGGTGCTAGTACTCTGGAATTCAAGCCAGACACAGTAGTCTGTGAGATCTCCTGCCACATGACTAGTCTGGAGTATTGAATTTAGCTTGGCAGCAAGCACACTTCTTAGCCATCTCACTGCCCCCCAGTTCAAAAGTTTTATATCTTTTTTTTTTTTGATGTCTATGTGTTTGCATATAGATCAGGCATGTGTGGCTTCCCACAGAAGCAAGCAAAGGGGCATTGGATCCTCTGGAACTGGAGTCCCAGTATCGGTGCTGGGAACCAAGCTTGGGTCCTCTGTAGAACAGCAGGCACTGTTAATTGCTGAGCCCTCTCTCTTTCTAGGGCTCTCACCATCCTTAAAGTTTTATTAGAACATCATGCCAAATATGCCTTACCAGTGATTCTGTGCAATCTTTTAAACTACAACAGCAATTGAGCAGTTAAGAAACCATATGATTCAAAATGTCTAAAATGTTTATTATTTTTTTAAATTATGCATACATGTTTTTCTGTTTACGAGTGTGTATGTGTGTGAGTGCAGTGCCAGAGAAGTGTCAGATCCTCTGGGCTGGAGTCACCTAATGTCAAGCTACGACCTACATGTGGGCCGTTTTTAAGAGCAGTACATGCTACTAAACCTGAACCATTTTTCCAACCTCCTAAAATATTGCCTTAAAATTAATTTTTACATTAATCCATGAGTTTATATGAGCATGGGGGCACATTAGTGCCTGTGGCAGATTCTCTCAAATAAACATACAACTTGCCTTTTGACTACTCTAAGTAGCCAGCTTGCTGTAATGTTGGAATTGCAGGCAGGCCACCAGACCCTCCTAACTTCTGTAGGTGCTGTGGATCGAACCCTTGTTTTCACATTGTGAGCCTTCTTTCCAACTCTTCTAAAACATTTTCTATTTGTTCTCTTTTTAAAAATGTTACCTGGAGCCGGGCGGTGGTGGCACACGCCTTTAATCCCAGTACTCGGGAAGCAGAGGCAGGCGGATCTCTGTGAGTTCGAGGCCAACCTGGTACTAGAGCTAGTTCCAGGACGGGAACCAAAAGCTACGGAGAAACCCTGTCTCAAAAAATCCAAAAAATAAAAAAAATAAAAATGTTACCTGGCCCAAAGTGGTGGTATAATCTTCTTATCAGTGGAAAGCTGAAGCAGGAGGATGTTAGTTCAAGGCCAGCTTATACCACACAGCAAGACTCTGTCTCAACAAAATTTTGCTGATGCCTAATTCATGCAATGTTATCTTTTGATAATGGTTTGTCTACTTAATTTATTCATTTATTTGTGTGGGTGTGGTTTCTCATGCCTATGTACACATAAAGGCCAGAAGAGGGTATCCAGTATCTTTTTTTTTTATAATTATTTGTCAAGTCTTTTTTTTTTTTTTTTGGTTTTTCGAGACAGGGTTTCTCTGTGGCTTTGGAGCTGTAGACCAGGCTGGTCTCGAACTCACAGAGATCCTCCTGCCTCTGCCTCCTGAGTGCTGGGATTAAAGGCCTGTGCCACCATCGCCCGGCTTTGTCAAGTCTTTTGAGGCATATCTGCCTTTTCCTTCTTAGTCATACAAGTGTTCAAAGGATGCACCTGGCTTGTTATGTGAACTCTAGAATCCAAACTTCAGTTTTTCTGATTGCACAGTAAACTCTTTTAACTGCTGAATCATCTACTTCTTAATCCACTTTTCCATTTTGTCTTCAGAACTTGTGGTGTGGATGCACAGCTGCTCTCATGCACTTGTGTTTAAAACCCTGAAATTCATACCAGAGTCTTGTTAGAACAGGGAGAGTGTTTGTGTGTTCCAGTTCACTGTTTTCAAAGAAGAGCCCTTTGTAATCTCTTCTTGTCTCTTGGATCCCAGACCAATTTTCTGTCAGCACATTCAGCCAGAGATGAGGCGGCAAGACTGGAAGAGCGCAGGGGTGTCATTGAATTCCATGTGGTGGGCAATTCCTTGAGCCAGAAACCGAGCAAGAAGATGCTGATGTGGCTGGTGGGTCTGCAGAATGTGTTTTCTCACCAGCTGCCTCGAATGCCCAAAGAATACATCACACGACTCGTGTTCGACCCGTAAGTTCAACTCATTTTTCATTCCTTCTTTATTGCAAGAGAGAACTATTTAGTGACATTTAGCCCTTGGAATCCAGCTACCTCCTATCTTGATATGACTACATAGTCACAATGATATAATTTTCATGTCAAAGTCATAAAGATTAATCTATCAATAAATCTTAAATGTTCTTGTTAATAGATTGAAGCTTTATAAATTGCTGGGATTCGTGAGATGGTTTAGTGTGTAAATTCTCTTGCTGCCAAACCTTATGATCTAAGTTTTATCCTGGGACCCACATGGTAGGCGAGACCCGACTCCCATAAATTTTTCTCTGACTTCTACACCTGAGTGGCATGCATTTGTGTGCACGCACACACACACACGAGGAGAGAGTGGCATGTACTCACACACTTGAACACACAAATAAGCAAACAAATGAATGAAATAAAAAATACTAAGCTGATGAGGAGCCTTCTGCACCACATTCTGTGAGAACATAGGAATACTAACGTGTTTTATTGAAGTCAGTACATTCCTTGTTTTGTTGTATTGGAGAGGTACCATTGTAGCCCAAGTATCCACAGGTAGGGTTGCACCAAAGTTTTGTTGGATCTTCAGGCAAAGTACAGAGCACAAGATAATCCATTTGTGCAATGTGCTTCTGTAAACACTAGGAAAATGATTGGGATTTGGGATAGATTATCCTAGGAAATCCAGTGCTTTCAGGAAGAAAAAAAAATCCAAGGATGAAGTTGTAGCTCACTGGTATAAGGCTTACCTGGAGAAAACAAAGCCCTAGGTTTAATCCACAATATTAAAGAAAAAAAATGAAATCTAAAAATACCAACAACTCGGAATTAAACTCCATTTGTTTTTACTTTACCCTCGTTAACCAGTCAGCCTGAGTGAAATGTGATCTGAAAAGGTGGCAAGTCCGAGTGAGGCACTCTGGGATTCCACACTGCAGGACTTGACAGTTCCTACATGTGGATGCTGTGTTCTTTGCTGTGATGCTACTATCACTGTGTGAACTCTTAGCTGCTACTTTGAGCTCTGCGCTCTCCCTCAGTTCCCAGAGCCAGTTCTAGAGCCCTCCAAGCACATACTTTCAGGCTCACGTTCTTCTAAGGAAATTCTCCCTTTGTGTTTGGTGGGAGCTCTGAAGTAGGCTTGCCCTAAATACTACAGGAAAATGACTAGCTGGTGAGCTGGTGTCTAGATGAAAGAACCCACTCCTGCTCCAAGTCTTCTTACACAACAAGGAACATCTCCAAAAGTATTTTATATAACCAAGAAAGATAAAGCTTAACCTTATTCTTTCAGGAAACACAAAACCCTTGCTTTAATTAAAGATGGCCGTGTCATTGGTGGTATCTGTTTCCGGATGTTTCCATCCCAGGGATTCACAGAAATTGTTTTCTGTGCAGTAACTTCAAATGAACAAGTCAAGGTAAGAGAAACCCAGGATCATAGCAGAAAAGCACTCGGGAAGGAGAGATGTGGGAGTTGGTCACACAAAGGAAGTTCTTTACTTCCAACCATTATCACCTGCCAGAGTAGGACTCTGGCCCTCAATAAATTTAAATGGAGACCTGAGTCTCAGTAGTTTACCCTGAAGCAACATCTGGTTGTAGGAAGAATCACAAGCTGAGATTACCTGACCTCCACCCAAGAACAGACCATTCAAAGGAAATGCCATCTGCTGTAGACAGGATCACCTGCCGGCACACACTCACCAGAACACCCTAGACAAATGTCAGCCAATCAGGGGTCCTGAACCTTAGAAACCCCTCACTCTCATCTTTACTACTATAAAACCCTATTCTAACTAAGCTCGGGGCTCTCCAGTTATTCCAATACATTGGACATGTGGAGAGACCGAGTTTGCAAACTTACTTAAAATAAAGGTTCTTTGCTTTTACATATGGGATTCTGTCTCCTTGTTGGCTTTCTCGGGGACTTTGTGGATTTGGGCATAATAAGAGGCAGGCAGGTGAGTTTGAGGCCAACTTGGTTAACCTATTAAGTTCCAGGACAACCAGGCAGACTCTGTCTAAAAAGAGAGAGGGGGAGGGAGAGAAAGAGAGACACAGAGAGACAGAGAGAAGTTGTGAGAAATTTCCAAATAATGAAGAAAGCATTTCCATGGATTTGGTTCAGAGCATTCCCTTGACCCCAGATGTCTCTGAATGCCATTCTAGCACTTTGTCTTAGAGCGGTTGCCGTCATCCCTCATGTGGGCTATGAGCCTGCTGGAGTCCTCTCCCTGTGCCATGTTGCTATACCTGGCACAGGCCCTGTGTTCCTGGGAGCTAAGGTTGTGCTCTTTTTGGGTTGTTTTGGTTTGCCTGGAATAACTTAGCTGTGCCGGGCAGAAAGAGCTCTTCTGTAGAATCTGTTATACTCCACTCTGTTTCTATCAGGACAGACTAAAGCAATGGTTCTCAAGTTTCCTCATGCTGTGCCCCTTTAATAGAGTTTCTAATGTTGTGACCTCCAACCACATAAAGTTATTATACAGTTGCTACTTCAAAACTGTAATTGTGTTAGTTATGAGTTGTAATGTAAATCTCTGATATGCAGGCTATCTGATAACCAGAGGGGTCAAGACCCACAGGTTAAGAACCACTGCAAAGGCTATGAAGAAACCTTGTGATGATGGAGCTGTAAGCAGCTCAGGAGTCAATGTGGCTGCAGAAAATTTGTTAGAAGGTCTGGGGCAAGTTGTCCAACATAGCTGTGTGAAAGCCGCACAAACTTTCTAGAAGGTCCATTTCAAAGCAACAATTGAAAGCAGGAGAGGTTAATTTTTCTAATGTATTTCACTTAACCTAAAATTTAATATCATGAGGAATTATCAACAGCATCTATATTCTCTGTATGTGATAAGTGTTTGACATTGGTGTATATTTTGCACACATAGCTTGTCTATCAACTGGGTGCAAGGGGCCGTGGCTCCTGTATGGGGCAAAAGAGGCCATGGATCCTGTATGGGGCAGCAGAGGCCGTGGCTCCTATGTGGGGCAGCAGAGGGCCATAATTTCTGCACTGGGCAGCAGAGGCCCGGGGTTCTGAATGAGGACTCTGTTGGTTCTTTCAGCTTCAAAGAATCACTGTCATTTGCAGAAACCAAAAATAAGTCACTGGACAAAGTAATTTTCTGTATAAAGTGTGGTTAGTTTTGTACACTCGTGCTTTCATTGGGGTCAACACCTCCCCTCTCCCCTGTTAAAGACAGAATCTGAAGGAGTTGCTGCTGGTCTCATACTTGCTTAAAGCTAAAAATAGCCTTGAGCCCTGATCCTACTAACTCTCCATTTTCCCCCTCTTTCAATGGAAGCAGGGTGTCTCTGTAGCTCACGTTCTCCTGAAACTCACTAGGAAGCTCAGGCTGGCCTTGAACTCAGAATTCTTGCTTTAACTTCCAGGTGCTAGGGGTTGTGGATTTATAAGTCTACAATCTAGCTCTTTGTGATTTTGATTTTGTTTTGTTTCTTCTTTCTTTTAAACAGTCTTACTATGTAGCTCTTGTTGCCTTGGAAACTTTGTATAGATCAGGCTGTCCTGGAACTCACAGGGGTCCACCTGTTTCTGCCTCCTGCTACATGTGAGCTTTTTAGCTTTGAATCCTAACACTCAGCAGCAAATTGCAGGTGCAGGGGTCTCACAGTTTGTCTGGGGGAAGGGAAAGACTCAAACTGCCCTTTAGTGCTTTTTAAAGAATTCTGACAAGATGCCTTTTGCTGCTGTTGCTATCTTTATAACCCACCCATCCCCCAGCGTGAAGAACGTCCAGATGTCTCCCAAAATACAGAATTTAGGGCCTCACTCAAACTTTGTGTGACTATACATAGAGAGAAACTTTGCTTTGGAAAACACACCAGTAGCTTATAATATGAGGTAACTTGTTTTTTTTAAAGATGGTTGTACCAAGCACTTAGTTTGGAAGAACTGATTAGGGTGAACTTAGGCACTTTTATCAATAGCAGAGCGAAACTGAAGATACCTTAACACTGGTGGGAAAGTTTTCAATGGCTTCCAGAGGGCATTTCCCTCCACTGCCACAGCACAGACTGTTATTTTCTAAAATCTCGAGGAAGGTGGCCAAACATTACAGACTGAGTAGGAATAACAAGGGGAAAAAATTATTCAGAGTCCTTGTAGTTACTTACAGGAGAATAAATGATTCAAAGACAGTTGCATCACGCATGGGTGGGTGAGAGCTCTCAAAAGCTGGGAACTTGGAGCTCACTGCACAACCTACAGGCAGCTCAAGAGGCTGGAGAGTGTCCTTTCCAGGGTTCAGTTGTTCTGAGAGTGTCTTTCAGGTGCAGGTGTCTTTCAGTAGTCTTTATTGTATATTTATGGTGGTAAATACACACACACACACACACACACACACACACACACACACACACACACGGGAAGCCCTGAGTGCATGTGTGTTGCTGGCACAAGCCCACCATGTCAGAGACCCTGTCTGACCCATGGGAAAATGGCAAAGCCTCTCCCCCTCTTCCCAGCGCAAGGCTCAGAAGGATGGCAAAGCCTTCTTTTGGTCCTTGTACATATTTTGATAGTATATGCAGACAACGTCCACCATCGTGTTCTTCCCTTAATACAATGGTTCTCAACCTGTGGCTTGTGAACTCTTGTGGTGGGGGTCAAATAACCCTTTCACAGGGGTAGCCTAAGACAACCAGAAAACACAAATATTTATAGTATGATTCATAATGGTAGCAAAATTACAACATGAAATAGCAATGAAAATAATTTCATGGGGTCACCACAATGTGAGAAGCTGTATTAAAGGGTCGCAGCATTTGGAAGGTTGAGAATTGCTGCTTCAATATTTACAGGCTGAGGACCTCTCCTACAGAGCCTACCGCTATGAGATTAGTTCAGCTGTGTGCAGCAATCCAGCCTCCCTGTTCACTCTGTGTAATAAATATGCCGAGCTTCCAAGGCATCCTGAACTTGGAGAAAGTCCTGGAAAGTGCTTAGGTTGCTTGGGGTCCCCTAGTCATGCCACACAAAGAGACTCTGGCTTACATACTGCTTGGTTTGAGATTTGGGAGGTGGAAGTGAATCTGTGAGGTGGTATCTGTGGGTGAAGTCTTTGTGTAAGGACAGTCACCTTTGGACGCTCTGTTTCCTGTCTTTTTATGAGGTTCTGAAACGATCTTTCTCAATTCATCAGTCTTATCTGAACTTTATACTGAAAAAGTGAACACTTGCATTTTTCCAATTTAAACTACTCAGTTTTATTCTTTTAATTTATTTTTATTTTTAAAATGCATCTTTATTAATTCTTTGAGAATTTAATACATGTGCATGGTCGCTTCCCCCCTCAGTCTTACTTTTTCTTTTTTTCTTGTTTTTGTTTTTGTTTGTTTGTTTGTTTTGTTTTGTTTTTGTTTTTGAGATAAGGTTTCTTTAACAGTCCTGATTGTTCTGGAACTTGCTTTGTAGACCAGGTTGGGCTCAAACTCATTGCCTCTGCCTCCCAAGTGCTGGGATTAAAGGTGTGTGCCACCACTGCTTGGCCTATGTTTTACTTTTTTTTTGAGACAGAGTTCTGATATATAGCCCAAGATTATATACCAGATATAGACCCTCTCACCTCAGCATCCTGAGTGCTAGCATCACAAATGTGTACCAGAACACGGATCCTGTTTTCATATTTCATAAACTATTCATTTATTCAGTATTGTCCATAGTTTTTGTTTCCACTGTTTTATTTGCTGATTCAGACTGTGACCTTCTCAGATTTTTCTTGGTCTGATAAACAAAGGTAAGTTGGGTGTCTGTGATGCAGTGGCTAGAAGGGTTGTTGGTATCTGAAACAGATAAATGTTTAGATCAGTACACACCCCAGTGAAGGTCTGCATGGCTCATTTACTTACCTCGGATATGGTAATAACGGTCAGCACCATTCCTCTACCCACTTCCTTTCATCTCAGTTTCTCAAATATGGTCAAGATTAAACTCAACCTTGACATCAACTCTAAAAGCATCTAGAAACATCAAGGATTTTAGGACTGAGTTTGGAGTCTCTGTGTGTTATTTTCAAAGAACCAGGAATTAGTATTCGCCAGTGATGATTTTTGTCTTGAGCCATAGATTTTGAATGTCTGTCTTGGGATTCCTTTTCAAAATTTAGACACCCAAGAAAGGTTAGTTAACATAATAGTTCCTTCTAGAAAGCATCCTGGTTGATAAAATATTTAAAACTATGAACTCCTAAATGCTATAATTTTCTGTCATGTTTTTAGGCATTTCTTTTCTTGAGTATGTTTAATTCCACAGGGCTATGGAACACACCTGATGAACCATCTCAAAGAATACCACATAAAGCATGATGTTCTGAACTTCCTCACATATGCGGATGAGTACGCCATCGGCTACTTCAAGAAGCAGGTCAATTCCCAGGGAAGCCTTACTCTTCAGCCTACATCTGTGCACATGTTCAGGCATGAGTGTGCCCGGGTGGACACACCTATTGTGCACACTTGGCAGCCAATGCAAGACATTGGGTGTCTTCCTCTATTTTGCTCTGGCTTATTGCTTTGAGAAAGGATCCCTCACTGAATATGAATCTCTTTTAAAAATTAAAAATTAAAGGAAAATTGATTCAACAGAGGATTGAATCTCCAGAGGATTCCAGTCCTAGGAACTTGGATGTCATCCCACTCTTGAGTTTACAATCCTTCTGGGATTAGTGGTATGATCACTGCCACCTCCAGATACTTTAATTAATTTAGATTTGTTTCCTGTTGGCACTGTTTGATTTTTGATCATTTTGTTTGTCATGGGTCACTCTCTGTGGCTGCTGTTCATAGCAGTGCAGTGATATTGAGAAGAGTGTGCATCTTAATCCTTGGCCCAGAGCCAGCACTTAGCAGCTAGTTGAACAGCTTTGTTGCACAGCATCCTGATAACTCAACTGATTTGCCTTGTAGGGTTTCTCCAAAGAAATCAAAATACCTAAAACCAAATATGTCGGATACATCAAGGATTATGAAGGTGCCACTTTGATGGGATGTGAGTTGAATCCTCAGATCCCATACACAGAGTTCTCTGTCATCATTAAAAAGCAGAAGGAGGTGAGTGTGTGTGTGTTTTGTGAAATACAGCCTGTATATAGTACCATGACATCTTAACTTCATTGGGTCCTTTTGCCTTCTGGCCCCTTTGTAGTCATAGCTCTTTGCTTTCATCCCCCAGAGGGTCCTCAAAGACCATTGCTGATGCATTAGCTTTCTGGCTCACATTACCCTGTTCCCTCTCGCTCAAGCAAGTGACATTCTTTCAGGTTCTGTTCCAGGCTGCCTTTGAACTTCTGCAGCATTAGTCTGACCCACACACTTGCATTTAATTATTAGTAATTCAGAGACATTTCTTCTAGTGTCTGTTATTTTCCCCTTTACACTGCAAGCTGTGTCTGAAGTCTTTCCAGATTTTTATATTTTCCTTCCAGATAATAGTTTGTTATGTGTATTGGTATGACATCCTTTATGCTCAGAAATGATAAATAATAACAGAAAAGGCTCCAGATGTGAGTGTACAGTGATTTAACACTTCAGTTCCTTCCAGTTCTCTTGTTACTTAATCTGCTGTTTTTCCATGACAGGTTACTAAAAAAACACATCTGCCTTAAAACCATCTGCTTTCTATCCTTAGTTCCAATTCTTTTACTTACTAAATGTGACCCAGAACAACACCCAAAAAATTTATTCTGTACCTAGTGGCAGCAGTCACTCACTGAGTATTTTCTTTAAAGTTGAGTAAGGTATGTGCTACTGTAAAGTGAACAAAAGGCATTTTAAATTAGAAAATCAAAATATCTTTGTTGCATGCTCAAAGATGTCTGTCTCATGGGGAGTTCCAATAGGGCTGTGGAAGGATTCCTAGTGCAGCACTTGCCTCTGATACATCTTTTTGAAGAGTTGTCTTCCCGCACTGTTTTCTAGATCCTAACAAACAGGTTTGGACTTGGCCGTTCTTTAGTGCATTGGTGGCTGCTTACCAGATGTCAGCTGCTTGTTCTGTAGTTTTCCACCAGTCACAAGGCTTCATTCCCTGGTAGCAGAGTTCCTTGGAAGTCTGTAAATTCCCACCGAAGCTGATCTGTTAGCTTCTAATACCTAGGGAAAAGCCAGAAGCAGAGCTGTTTCAGATGGCAAAAACAAACAAACAAACAAACAAACACAGTTCACTTTTTAAAAGACAAGGCTTTCTCCCTCTCTCCTCTCTTCTGTTCCCTCTCGGCTCCCTCCTTTTCTCTTTTCTCTTTTACGCCCGCCCCCCCCCCCCGCCCCATCTCTAGTCTTTTCTCACACATACCATTAAATGGGAGTGTTTGGAAGGTAAACCTATTTTTTTTTTCATACAATGTATCTTGGTCATATCTAGTCTCTACTCATTCCTTCCAGCCTCGCCCAATATATCTTCCACCTGACTCCCAGGTTTATAACTTAGTAAGCTAAGTCAAATTATTGTTGCCCATGTGCACATGAGCTGGGGTCATCCATCGAGGCATTGACAACCTATCAGTGGCCACACCCACAAAGAAAAGCTACGCTTCCTCCCTCAGAAGTCATCAGTTGCCCTTTGCTCTTCATCTAAGGGTGGGGCATTTGGAGCTCTTACCCCTTCATGATGCAATTTTTAACTCTTGTGCAGACAACCACAGCTGCTAACTTCATGTGTGTATGCAGCAGCCCAATGGTATGTAGTCCTTTCTTTCAAATGAGGTCCTGTGTGTATGCACCAGGCCATAGGTGTTCAGAGGCCTTCCTTTCAAATGAGGTCCTGTGTGTATGCACCAGGCCATAGGTGCTCAGAGGCCTTCCTTTCAAATGAGGTCATGTGTGTATGCACCAGGCCATAGGTGCTCAGAGGCCTTCCTTTCAAATGAGGTCATGTGTGTATGCACCAGGCCATAGGTGTTCAGAGGCCTTCCTTTCACACATTCCTCCCTGCCTGCTGCCTCTTACATCTTTCTGCCCCTTCTTCCTTGATGTTTTCTGAGTCATTGCGAAGGGAGAGATGTGTTGATAAAGATGTTCAATCTGTGTCTTTACCCTCACAGCCTTATTCCCAGTGTTTTGAACTAGATTTTTAAGACAGCTGCAATCACACCATAATAAAATAATTATTTTCTTATAGAGACTGGATAACTATCTCTTATCATAAATGCTCCTGGTATTTTAGAATGTTTTTTTCTTCTCCAATACTTCTTTTGTCTTATGACTGAGCACCTTTAATGAGATAATCCAAAATCTGAAATACTCTAAAATGCTAAACTCTCCTTCAGTAATAAAAGCAGTGAGTAAGCTGTGTAAACTGAGAACTTTTCTAGTCCTGGAATGTACACTTGATCAGAATGAGCTGAAGGCAGAGAGCAAAATCTCTACTGCCCCACAAGTGAGATGGCTTCATCAAATACCTGTATGTTTTGGGGGTGGCATGAACAAAGGCTGGGTCACTGTTTAATAAATAAGATGTTGGACACAAGAATAGGTAGGACCATGTATCCTTGAGCAAGAGAAAAGGTGATAGGCAGGGAGCTGAAAGGCCGCCTCTGTGCATGCATTTGTGTACGTTGGTATGGAGGGTGACTCCAATATCTCAGTTCACATGTAAGACGTCAAGAGACTGAACCTGGAGGACCCCTACTCACCTCTGGAGGCAGCCTCTCTCTTTCCTTCTCTCTGATGATCCTTTCCTTAGTAAAGGGTTTGTGTGAATGTCACTAATGAGTATGGTATAAAAGGATACTTCTTTTAAAAGATATATTTCAAAATTTTGCACATACACACACACTCCATAACATAAAGAACATAAAGAACTTGCTAGGGTTGACTCTTTCCTTTTATCATGTGGAAACCCAGGATTAAACTCAGGTCTTCGGGCTTGGTGGTGGGTACTTTTACCCATTGAGCCATGTGGTAGGACCCAGAGTGCTTCTGCCTCTTAATATGTATTTAGCCTTTCTTCTTTTTGTCTCATGAGCATGCATTGTCTCCTTCGTTTATCTGACTTGCCCTGGTTCATGTATGGCCTCTTTTCCTAAACACACTTTCCCCTCGTGCTTTTCAGATCATTAAAAAGCTGATAGAAAGAAAACAAGCCCAGATTCGAAAAGTCTACCCTGGACTTTCGTGTTTCAAAGCTGGAGTTCGGCAGATCCCTATAGAAAGCATTCCTGGAATCAGTATGTATAGATACTTTTACAAAGCAAAATCTTCTGTCGATCATATAAGATATATTTGAAATGATTTCCAGCATGCAGTCATTTGAAAAGCTTTCAACTGTCCCCTTTCTGTGTCTGTGTGCTCTGTGTAGTGGGCAGCAAACTAGTTGTGGGGCTTGCCTATAATCCCAGCACTGAGAGAGTAAGGCAGGAGGATCTAGAATTTGAGGTCAACTGAGGCTAGAGTGAGAGAGACACTGTGTGGGGATGGGAAGGGCAGTAATAAAGACTTTCTAATGTCCTTTTCTTCCTAACTCAGCCTAGAGTACCTTTAAAAGAGTTATTAATATTACATAATTTATTAAGGCCTAGTACTTATTCACAATGCTTGGCAACAGGAGTATATATTAAATAGCATGGGAACTTTGGATTTTTATATTTAAAAATGGAGGAACTGGTCTTCAAATGGTTGTATATTAGCATGCAGAAGTTCAGAACAAGATGTGGACAACCTGCCTTGATGTCATTGTCACCTGCATGAACCTGTTGCCTGACTTCTCTTCTTCCCTCCTCTCCATGTGTGATAGAAGTCACTTCAGTTGTTTCAAGATTTTATTTTACAGTAACTTTCTTAAGAATTCTTTTTAATATGCTAAAAACGAACTGTAATCGGATTTGTAGATTGAAAGCTTCTAATTATCATTTGGCAATCTTATTCAGTTTGAATCTCTAAGTTCTTATAATTACTACCCCCCACCCCAGCACACAGGCACAAAACTAAAATTCTCCATGAAAGAGACAGGATTCTGTCTCATTGCATCTGTCCTGCCCTAGGACTCTTGATGCTGAATCCCGGGTCTCACTTCCGCGTGTTGTCTCTGTTAATAGCCAAGTAGCTGCCCCATTGTTGAATGCCTCATGGTGCCAGGTCCCAATCCACTACTTTTTCCTCTTTTGTCAAATGTTTAGCTATTTGGACTTTTTTTTTTTTAAATCAACTAATGTCACAGTGGCTAATTCCACCTAGTTTCTGTAGTTGTGTTTTGTAGGCAGGTAAACTGAAGGAAAGGTAAATGACTTTTTAAGAGAGAACAGAAGAATCAAATTCAGATCCCTCAGACACCAGGCCCTATAAACCATCTGTAATGCAAGCAGGAGCTCGACCACACAAAACAGAGAACAGACACTCTTTTGACATAAAATAACAGCAGCACTTCATTGTGAGATAATCAAAGATTTCCGACTTGCAGTTTCTCATCCCCTTTCTCTGTTTTGAAGAGTTGGAGCTCCTGCCTTAGACACTAACCAGCTGAGACTGTAGCTCAGGGGTGATGTGAGGTGTTGACTTCAGTCACCAGCACTACAAAAAAAATTAATAACTCAATGAAATGAACAAAACTTATTAATAGAGCTGCCAGTCTGGGAAAGCGTTTTACGCTTTAAGCTGTATGAGAAGGAAGATAAATGCCGTTACTTTTAGTGTTTTTCCCCAAATAGACGTTTATTGAGACATGGCTTTCATGTATGGTGCTTCTAATAAGTAGTATGTTATTCTCTTGACCCAAAGCAGTTCTCATTTAGTGTTCAATTTTGTTGACATATAGGAGAGACAGGCTGGAAACCAAGTGGAAAAGAGAAAAGGTAAGCAAGCTGGGCTAGAGGTTGTTAATGCAAGTGATCTCCCCTTTCCAGCACTTTCTAGGAAGAGGGCCAAGTGATGGAATTGGTATATAGCAGATAGTGGGCTTCAGTTCTAGGCTGGGACCTGTGAGGCTGAGTGGTGATGAGGCCTGGAACATGAGCACTAATCCTTCTTTACTCTCTGTTATTTCAAGTAAAGAGCCCAGAGACCCAGAACAGCTTTACAGCACCCTCAAGACCATCCTGCAGCAGGTGAAGGTGGGTGTGTCCTTCATTCATGCTCTTCTTTGAAAGGCTTTCCCACAGGACATTTCCATATGAGATACCTTATTTTATTTCTTTTATTCAAGAGCCATCAAAGCGCTTGGCCTTTCATGGAACCTGTGAAGAGAACAGAAGCTCCAGGATATTATGAAGTTATAAGGTTCCCTATGGGTAATGCTATTACAATTTTCTCAGATATAAAACTGGGTGGTGATGTGAGAGGCAAATGCTGGCTAGGGTGGACTCTCTGTGCTAATGAGGGTGTGATGAGTAGACCCGGGAGAGTGCTGCTGGACCAGAGGGAAAATGGTGCATTGTATGCACTTTCAATCCACAGCTGTGGAGTGCAGGTAGGAACCTTACTGTAGGCAGTCCTGGATGAAGCCACCTGTAATAAATAGCAGTAGTAATATGATTTTTTTTTTTTTTTACTGTTCTGGGTTTTTTGGTGGACCCACCACCCAGCTCCCAAATAAATCCCAAAGAGGCTTATTCTTTGTTACTTGCCAACTTTTGCTTATTTTGCCTATCTTTTGCCTCTAGGCTTTTCCCATTCTCTTCTTCTGTAAATCTTATTCTTACTCCATGAATTGCTGTGGCCCCTGGTGTCCTCCTTCTCTGGTTACCTCTCCGTACCTCTTTTCTCCAGATTTCTCCTTCTATATTTTTGCCTGCCAGCCCTGCCTATCCTTTCTCCTGTCTTGCTATTGGCCATTCAGATCTTTATTCGACCATCAGGTGTTCTAGACAGGGCAAGTATCACAGTTTCACAGAGTTAAACAAATGCAGCATAAATGAAAGTAACACACCTTAATGTAAGAGTCCTAACAGTTGCCTTCTGGGTTACAGATGAAAAGATAACAGATTTTGTCTTTTTTCTATGACCTGAGTCAGCCAAAAGTGGTTCTTATTTTTAAGAATTGTTCAAGATAGATGACTCAGTAGCTAATAGTACTGGCTGCTCTTGCAGAGGATTGAGTTAAATTCCCAGCACCTACATGGTGGTTCACAACTGTTTATAACTCCAGTCCAAGGGGATCTGACTTCCTTAAGCATTGCATGCAGGCAGAATACCCATATGTCTTAGTTACTGTTTTGTTGTTGTGAAAAGACACATGGCCATGCAATTCCTATGGAAGAAAGCATTTAACTGGGATTTGCTTACAGCTTCAGAGGTTTAGTCTGTTATTATCACAGTGGGGAGCATGGTGCCATGCAGGCAGGTTATAGAGCAGTAGCTGAGAGCTACATGATCCATAGGCAGAGGGAAACACTGGGACTGGCATTTTAGTGGGTTCTAAAAGCCCACCCCCAGTGATACATTTCTTCCAACAAGGTCACACCTCCTAATACTTCTAAACTTTTCAAATAGCACCACTCCCAGTGACTAAGCATTCAACTATATGAGCCTTTGAAAGCCATTCCTAGTCAAACCGCCATTACATATACATAAAGTTTTTTTGCCCTCCCTCCCTCCCTCCCTCCCTCCCTCCCTCCCTCCCTCCCTTAAGTCAGGATCTCTCTAAGTAGCTCTGGCTGACCTGGAGCTCACTAGAGCAGTCTGGCCTCAACCAGAGAGCCACCTGACTCAGGTTTCCAATGCTGGGATTAAGGGTGTGTGCTATCATGCTTGGCTACATAATTTTTATATAAAGAACCTTTCAAGGTAACTTGATGAGGATAGATTAAGCTCCTTTATGGCTGTTCTTTCAGATGGAAAAACTCTAGTAAATGATTTTTTTCCCATACTGTGAATATCACTATATATATTTCCTTAAAAAAACCCAACTTTTTCTTGACTATATTTCTGTGTGTGCATGATATGTGTGTAAGAGCACAAGTGCCACAGCACACAAGTGAAGGAGAAATGACAGCTTTGTGGAGCCATCAGGCTTGTCATGCAAGTGTCATTATCTGCTGAACCATCTTACCAGCTTCTAATTCAGTCTTTTTCCAAATCCAAAAAATACCAAATAGGCTTCAGGAATAGAGAATAAATATTTCACCTATACTGTGGTAACAGGAACAATTGATTGAGAATCCCTAAATTTAATCAGTTTGTCAGTGTGTACATGGGTGTATGAGCACCATGGGACATGTGTACTTTATTTCTGGTTTGATCATGCCGTACATGATTATTTTTCTAAAGCATTATAAACCTTGTATTGGCAGCATATCAGAAACAGTAGGAGTTAAGAAGGACTGTCCATAGCCACTCCTACCCAGAGGCCCAGCTTCTTTCCTCCTCCTTCCTTATTGAGAACTGCCCCAGAAAGTTACTGGGAATTGAACTCAGGTCCTCTGAAAGAACAATGTATGTTATTAATTTGTGTGTGTGTGTGTGTGTGTGTGTGTGTGTGTGTGTGTGTGTGTGGAGGGGGTAAATCATTTTGGACTAGAACAATGGTTCAGCACTTAGGACCACTGATTGCTCTTTCAGAGGACCTGGTTTGATTCCAACCACCCATATGGCCACTTGCAACACTCTGTAACTCTAGTTCTAGGGAATCTATGTCCTGTTCTGACTTCAAAGAGCACCAGGCATACACATGCACACTGACATACATGGAAATGAAACATCTATACAATTAAAATAAAAATAGATTATTTAGTAAGTTTGTAAGATTATTTAGTAAGTCAAAAGTTAAAGTTTGATCATTGATGGAACCTTGCTCAAAATTCATTTATTTTACTTTAATATTTTATGTGCAGGTCACTGATGTATTTGTAAACCAGATGCTAGTTTCTTTCTTTGTATCACACCAATAAAACTATGAATTTACTAAAACGAGTTCAGCCTGATAAGTTTTAGCAATCAAAGATTCTGTGCCAGTGTTCTACCTGCCCCACTCAGCATCCGTGGATCCTCTACTTACTGTCCCTTAGTCTCCTGGTGCACAGTAAGAGATGGGAACAGACAAGAACTCACAGTCCTTTGAATATTAGTGTGGCTGCAGTATTATATGCAAATCCGTTTTAGAAGAATAGACTCAAGAATTATTTTGTGGGGGCTGGAGAGATGGCTCAGAGGTTAAGATCACTGGCTGCTCTTCTAGAGGTCCTAAGTTCAATTCCCAGCACCTCAGGGTGGCTCACAGACATCTTATAATGTGATATGGTACCCTCTTCTGTTGTATGTGTATATAATAGATAAATCTTTTTTTTTTGTTTTTGTTTTTTTGTTTTTTTCAAGACAGGGTTTAACACACACACACACACACACACACACACACACACACACAATTATTTTGCTTAATCCCAAGAATTTCTCTTAAGCATGGCATTGGAATGAGAAAAATGTAAGCAAATCAACAGCATAGATTTCTTCCTGTAGGAGGAGTCAAGAGTTGCTAATGTTGTTGTTTCCTGTTCAGATCTGAAGACCATGAGCGAACGCCTCAGGAACAGGTACTATGTTTCTAAGAAATTATTCATGGCGGACTTGCAGCGAGTGTTCACCAACTGCAAGGAGTACAACCCTCCTGAGAGCGAGTACTACAAATGTGCCAGCATCCTGGAGAAGTTCTTCTTCAGTAAAGTTAAAGAAGCCGGGTTGATTGATAAGTGATTTCTTTTACTTAGACACTCAACAGCAGTGTGCCTAAAGCAGGTGGTTTAGGTTTTGGGCTTTTTTTTTTTTGGTTTGTTTTTGTTTTTTGTTATTGTTATTTGTTTTTAAGAATTGTATATCATGTGTTGAAGAGACTTGTAATAATTAGCACTTTTGAAAAACAAACAAAACCTCCTTTAGCTTTTCAGAGACTTATTTAAATGGAAGTCATAGAAAAAATTATTTTGTGGGATAGATTTTACTATTTCCTACTATCATGTAAATTTTCTTTGGCATATCCAGTAGCTAACAGATGATCAGGGGCTTCCTCAAAACCTGTATGCGAGGAAATTGCACACAGTGTCAATATTTAGGGGATCTAGAGAAAATTCTGACCATGAATGTCTCCATTTTTTTCTAATGGAACATGAGAGTTTATTTTATTCTGAAGGACTTTAAGGGTCCACAATATGCCTGTCAAGGTAAACTATGTGATATTTGAAGTCTCATTGTAGACCTTTTACAAATATATATTTTTAAAACACTCATCTGGAAGAGGTGCTCAGAGCAGTTCTGAAAAATGCAGCTTCCCCAACAGCAGCTGCCTGGACTCTTTGAAAGTGCCCAGGGCTTTGTTGTCCTGTCTGCCTATCACAGGCTTGAGTGCACAACCACTATGGAATAATTCTCGGCAGATATGTATCAATAGCATATTTGCCTTTGCTTGTGCAGGCTTTAAGTTCTAAAAGATCCTTTACCAGGTCACAAAGGTGTCAACTTGAAAACATTGGAGGTTTTGTCAATGTTAAGACATATAGCCTAAATATTTATGAATGTTGGGGAGTCTTACTACAAATGAGTAAGGATTCTTTGTATTTTTCTGGTACAATTAACCTTATTAGCAATGTCTATGTGAACATTTCCCATTTGCACTTCCAGATTTATATTTGTCTGACGTGAACTGAATTCTCACCAAAGTTTATGCCAGTATTTTAACCCCTGAGTCGTTTCAATGGTCCCTGATAAAATCCCACTAACATCCACCCACTATGAAACAAACCCTATATCTGGAGCTGGAGAGAAGGCTCAGGGTTAAGAGCACCTCCCATTTTCCCAGAGGACATCAGGTTGATTCCCAGCAGCAACATCCAAAATGGTATAATCTTATTAACCAGTTTGACTGGGGACTCAAGCTTAGTGCTTGGATTTATTTCCTGATTACACTACATAGAAAAGTGGGACTCCTGCCACCCCAACTCTGGGAAAAACCAACTAATATACAACCATTTTAATCTCAATGGTGTCGACACTAATTTTTATGATGCAAATTTATAAACTGATTTTTTTGGTAAAGGCTGAGGTTTTAAAAATGTATTTAATGTATGTTTTCTATCAGCATAAATTATAATAGGTCACTAATGTCATTAAAACAGCTTGCAGAGGTAGTGTGCTTGAAGGAAAACGCCCTGGCAATGCTACTGAGCACTGCTTCTGACACGGAGGTATTCTATACGTTCAGAGTGTCCACTGAGGACCACACTGAAGATGCCTCAGCTTTTGAATTGCAAGGAACACTCTAAGTGGTGTCTAGACTTTTAATGAAGAATGATAATACAGATTGCATTAAGTATCGCAGACTGTTTTTAAAACCAGATTTTGCTGAAGCATCTGTCCAGCTTGGTATCCTGTGAAAGTTTGTTTCCTGGGTAGACATTCTTATAGAGTATTGTCTTTAAAATCAGATGGTCTCTTCTATATTGAAAGCATTTTTATGTTTTCTAATTTAAAAATTAATATTTTCTTATAGCTATTGTGCAATAAAGCTGAAGTAGAATGTGTGGTTTTTGCAAATGCTTTAACAGCTGATAAAATTTTACATTTGTAAAATTAATATATTGTACTGGTACAAAATAATTTTAAATTATATTTTAAAAAATTCTGTGTGGTGTTCTGTTTTGTTCCACTAAGAGTCTGAGGTTAAACAGGGCAATGTGTCAGCTGGTATGAGCATGGACTGTACCCTAAGTCCTGAGCTCGTAAGCTTTTGTGAACATGTATGGAATTGCTGCAGTCGTAGGAAGTTTTATAAGCAAAACAAACCCTATATCTGGAGCTGGAGAGAAGGCTCAGGGTCAAGAGCACCTCCCATTTTCCCAGAGGACATCAGGTTGATTCCTAGCAGCAACATCTAATGGCTCATAATTAACTGCCTATAATTCAAGCTCAAGATCTGATGCCATCTTCTGTTCTCCAAAGGCACCCATAGTCACGTGCAAATAGATGGATATAAACACATGCGCGCGCGCACACACACACACACACACACACGTCCTGTTCTCCACAAGCACCCATACTCACATGCAAATATATGGATATTCACTCAGGCATGTGCACATCCTGTTCTCCACAGGCACCCATACTCTTGCAGATATATGGATATATACACATGCACACACATATACACATTCTGTTCTCCACATACTCACATGCAAATATCCATACACACATACATATAACTACAAAGTTAAAAACATTCCAGTCTGCTGGAATGCCGGGAGAAAGACACTTCTCTGCCTTTTGTGTCACTCACTAAAACACCACCACTGAAGAAAAATTCATTCACAGAGTGTTGTTAGAAATTAAATATAGTTTGTAACATTTCACTTTATATCTGCCAGAGTAACGAGGAAAGAGCAAAGTGCATGTGATTTCAAAACATCTCCCATCCTCAAAACTCTAGGAATTATAGGCTATCTGGGTTCTCAAACCCAATAGTAGTTGTGATGTTGATGACTTCCTGAGCCAGGAGCAAGGCTTTGGCCTTTAAGCTCTTTGTAGTATCAAAAGCAATGGTGTGAAAGGCAGGCCTGGCAGCACAGGTAGGAGAGAGGTGTGCACCACGTATTGGGCTCAAAACCCTGGGTTCACCTCCGCCAGTGCCAGTGAGGGAGAGGGGGCAGATGGTCATGCCAACTCATGTCCAGCCTACAACTATGCTTAGTTGAGTCTCTCCCAAGTAAGGAATGGATGAGGTACACGGGGGAGACAGATGCTGAATGTCCTTCCCCACACGAGCTAACTTCTCCATCCTATATAGTGTAAAGAAATCTCCACTTTTGTCCATTTATTCAGTGTGTGTGTGTGTGTGTGTGTGTGTGTGTGTGTGTGTGTGTGTGTCTGTGTGTAGGCCAGAGGGCGATGGCTGTCTTCTTATGTTTTGAGGCAAGGTATCTCCCTAAACCTAGGCTTACCAATTAGGCTAAATTGGTTAACCAATGAACCAACTCCAGGTGCCCAGCTGCATCCTGTTTCCAGCACAAGGGGTGGAGGTGGGGAATCCACACTCAGTCCTTCATAGTTTGCATGTCAAATTCTTTAGCATCTGAATCATTTCCCTAAAGGTTGTTTTGTATGTGCACATGAGTCTAAGATCTGGGTTGTGAACTCTGGTTGTCATATGTGGCAGCAAGTACTGGACCTTGCGTCCCTCCACCTCACTGTTGTGATCATTCAGCTAATAACCGGAAATAACTAAATTTAACCAGGTGTGGTGGTGCACACAGGCCTTTAATCTCCGTGTTTGGGAGTGCAGATCTTCCAGGCAATTACACTCCTTCCCCTTAACTCCTTTCCCATGCTCAGTAAGTAGGCCTAATAAACTTATGGTTCATCAGAGTGAACTGTATGTTCTAACAGGGACCCACTTTCTGCCAGATCTTACAGAATGAATCAGGCCAACCCTCATTGTTAAGAAGCAGTCTGTGCTGTAATTTGACAAGTCTCTGTTCTGTCACACATCCCTTTCTCTTGGTGCCTATCTTGTATTCATACTCTTGATGTTCCTCTACAGGCATTAAATGGAAGCTGCTTTTTGCAGTGGTTCTCAACGCCTAAGGACCATCGGAAAGCAGAATTTACATTATGATTCATAACCATAGCAAAATTACAGTTATAGAGTAGCAATAGGAATAGTTTTTGTTTGGGGGGGGGGTCACCACATTAGGAAGGTTGAGAACCACTGTTCTAGAGGCTCAAACTCATGTCATCAGGTTTGGTAGCAAGCACCTCCCCGTTATGCCATCTCATTGCTGTGACAACTTTAACAGCTGGATCCAGCCCAGTACCACTGTTCTGAAGGAGGCTGATGAAAAGTCCCTCATTGGTCCTTTCTAGTCCAAAGATGAGTCCTTCCTGCCTATTTGATGAGACCATGAAATTTGTACTCTCTGGCTCATGCTTCTGGATACTGGGATTAAGACATGAACTGAACCACCAAGCCTGTGGCTCCTGGTGAGATTAAAAAAAAAATATTTTATATGCAGCAGAAGACATCTTTGTAGAGTTGGTCTTCTCCTCCTACCATATGGGTTCTGTGGATCAAATGTAAGCTAATCAGTCATTGTGGCAAGTGCTGTTACCAAGTCATCTCACTGGCCTGAGTCCTTTCATCTCCAGGTCTCGGCTTTATTTATTATTTTTATAAATTACACAGTTCATCTCCATGTTAGTTTTACTCTTTTGCTGTGGTGTTGGGTTTTGAAGCCCAGGCTCCCACACATACTCTACCATTCTACATCTCTGGCAGATACTTCTTATTCATTAATTGACCATTACTGAACAGTACTGAATGCCAGGAGCCAGTGAATGCTGTCATGTGGTTGTGGCATACCAAATGAATCCTCCTTCAAGCCACAGCTCTCCATCTTGTCTAGAAACATAAAGCTGGAATATATATTTTAGTTCCTTCCACCTATTAATAATAAACACATGCCCCCTTGTAGGATTGCTACTTTTTTATTTCTCTTTCACAATCTCTCTTTTTGGGGGATGGGTTTCAAAGACAGGGTTTGTCTGTGTAGCACTGACTGTCTTGGAACTTGCTCTGCAGACCAGGCTGGCCTCAAACTTAGAGATCCCTTTGCCTCTTTTTCCTTGAGCACCAGCACACCCAGCTAGACTTGATCCTCTTAACACCTTTTACAAAGGTAATGAAGTACGACAGTTGAATGTCAGCTTTTAGGACATTATTGGAGGAGGGCATTCAGAGGTAAGAGATTAATGTCAGCTTTTAGGACATTATTGGAGAAGGGCATTCAGAGGTAAGGGATTAATGTGAGGCTGGGTGTAAGCAGATGTGCCAGAAAACCTGGCTGAACATCATGAAACACTCTGCTGAGAAGCCTGGCCTTTACAGAAGGCCCTGGAGAGGTAAAGAATATTAATTGCAGTTGCAATTTTTAAAATAACAAGTGATAACTATTTCTCAAAGAGGCGCTAAGTCTGGTTTATTTCTAAGATATTGTATAACAGAAATAATCTATATCTACCAACATGGTAAGTCTCAAACACTTAAGTCAATTATAAATCAGTATATACAATATATATACAGTGCCTATCAGATAAAAATGTTGACACAAGACCCTTAACAGCCTATAAACACATACTACATGGAATACAAAAACATGACAAAGACTAAAAGTTTAATAGCAGCTTTAAGGTAACAGTGACCGGTGCTTGTACTAAAATGGAAAGATAACAGTGATCGCATAGAGTAAGGGTCAAGGCTGACACAACACAAAGATCTTTGGAATAAACATTTAGGTGTCTACAGAAGAAAGTAGAAAAATGGTTTTTGCCTTTTTGAGATTATGTAGTGATGCGCCTGCATGGCCTGAAACCAAAACCCAAGCGAAGGATGTCAGGATTAAACACACACACACCCCTCTAGTCCATGGTAAAAGAAGCCCTTTATTGAATAGCACCACGGAGGCTTTTATACCCAACACAATCAGATAGGCCAACAGGTGAAAACCTCATCCCCTGACCCGCAATCAAGGACAAGGCAACACCTGCTCAGGAAGCAGAGCTGGACACAGCTTTCAGAAGGTCAAGAAAAGGTCACTAGCAGGGGAGAGCAGCTGGAGGCCAGGGCTCCAAATGATCCCAACAATGTAGCACAGTTTGTGTAAAACAGGATCCTCCTGCCTCAGCCTCTACAGTGCTGAGATTATAGGTATGGACCATCATAACAGGCCATGAAAAAAATTTTGAAAATGAACCAGGATATAAATAGGTGGGGTTCCGCAGGCTAAGTAGCAAATTTCATTCAAATGCTAATGTTTGTTTTTGACTTTTTTTGTTCTGCTTTTTTTTTTTTTTTGGATTTTTATTGAGCTCTACATTTTTCTCTGACTTCAACCCTCCCCCAAGGTCCCTAAGCTCCCAATTTACTCAGGAGATCTTGTCTTTTTCTACTTTCTACTTCCCATGTAGATTAGAGCTATGTAAGGGTCCTCATTGTTCTCTGGGGTTGTGTTTTGAAGGCTGGTTTTCTTTGCTTTATGTTTAAAAACCACCTATGAGTGAGAGTTCCTGTGATGATCGTCTTTCTGTGTCTGGATTACCTCACTCAAAATAATGTTTTCTACCTCCATCTATTTTCATGCAAATTCAAGATGCCATTATTTTTTCTGCTGTGTAGTACTCCATTGTGTAAATGTACCACATTTTCCTTATCCATTCTTCGGTTGAGGGGCATTTAGTTTGTTTCCAGGTTCTGGCTATGACAAACAAAGCTGCTATGAACATAGTTGAGCACATGTCCTTGTGGCATGATTGAGCATCCTTTGGATATATACCCAAAAGTGGTGTTACTGGGTCTTGAGGAAGGTTGTTTCCTAATTTTCTGAGAAATCGCCACACTGGAATCCAAAGGGGTTGTACCAGCTTGCATTCTCCCCAGCAATGCAGACGTGTTCCCCTTTCCCAACAACCTCTCCAGCGTAAGCTGTCATCAGTGTTTTTGATCTTGGCCATTCTTAAGGTGTAAGATGGAATCTCATGTTTTTGACTTTTTAAATACATAAAAACTAAACTTAGCTTGTATGAAGCATGGCCCACAAGCCAGCTTGCTTGGTGTGGACCAGGATACAGTCTACC